GGTCGGTGAGGAAGGAGGAGAACCACCGCATAACGGTGCCTCCCACTCCTAACCCACCGAGACGCCGCAGCATGATACCGTGGTCTACAGTATCAAAAGCCGCTGAGAGGTCCAAAAGAACAAGGACAGAGGAATAGCCTCTGTCCCGGGCCCTCCAGAGATCATTAACCAACGCGACCAATGCCGTTTCCGTGCTGTGCCCCGGCCTGAAGCCCTAAAGTTATCACATTAGGTGACATTTAAAGATTTCCCCCCTCTTGGATACACACTAACACACATGCATATAAATCACAAATAAAAAAAAAGTGAAAACAGAATATAAATGCAATACATGGCATACAGACACACCAAATAAATAATGTTATTGATACCAATGCGTGTACCAAGGTGATGCATTGTCTTCTGCTGCTATTCTGCATTGGTTTGAACTCCCTCAGCCAAATAATCCAAGGACTACTTATAGATAAAAAGTTCAAGAATGGAACTACTATCAACCATCTTTTCTACATGGATGACATTAAGCTGTATGCTAAGAGTGAATGAGACATTAACTTGCTAATCCACTTGACACAGATTTATAGTGAGGACCACTGGGATGTCATTTGGAGTAGAGAAGTGTGGCCAGATGGGTAGTAAAGAGAGGTCATGTAGTTAAGATTGATGGCCACATACCGAACATGCAGACCAGCTACAAATACCTTGGTATCTCAGTCACATGGAAACCACGATGAGGAAGCAAAGAATACAGCAGCATCCAAGTCCCACCAAAGGATAACACAAGTCCTGAAGAGCCAACTCAATGGGAACAAGAAGTTCCATACCATCAACATGTATGTCCTGCGAGTCATCAGATACCCTACTGCAGGGGTGTCAAACTGCCGGCCCACGGGCCGGTTTCATCATACCGGAGCCGCACCCACCCCATTGCCGGCAATGGCAAAAAAGCTCCGATACGTTGCACGACGTCACGTGACGTCACGAGTTTGACATGTCTGCCCTACTGGTATAGTGAATTGACCAAAGGACATGGAAATGCCTTTGTGGAGATCTGGAAGCTCCTCACAAAATATGGAGGCTTACAACCCAAGTTCGACACCCAGAGACTATAAACCAGCCAGAAATTGGGCAGGCAGGGTCTGGTGAATGTCAAAACCACTGTCCTCCTATGCAGATGTTCCTGAACACAATGCCAGCTGATTGGTTATGCCAAGTATATCTTTCTCTTTCTCTCCCCCCCCATCTATCCATCAATCAAAGCATGATTTTCTGCCATGTTGTAGTAGGAAATCCTCAAAATACGTATCCTGAATCAAAAATATTTTTCACATATTTCACATGCCTTTCACATATTGAGAGTATGCATCAAGTAACATTTATACCTTTAACAGCCATTCTTTTTGTTTGCTGCATGATTTCTTTGGGTTGGGAATGACTTTCTGTAAGTCTATTTTTTATCCCAACTTTATTATTTTTATTTTGATAAATAACTCCAGGTGGCAAACATACCAAATACTTCTTCCTTCGCCTATTTTTCCTACAGCAACAATCCTGTGAGATGAGTTGGACTGAGAGAAAGTGACTGGGCCAAAGTCACCTGGATGGATTTCATGCCTAAGGTGGGACTGGAACTCACAGACTCCCAGTTTATAGTCTCATGCCTTGTACATCTAGATTTATAACTCTATTTGTACTGTCTGCAATTGAATCTTCATTACATCCATTTGCTTTAAATGTCTTTAAAATATTGTGATCTCTCCCAATGGAGAGGTGGAATAGTTAGACAAGAATTGACTATCCATTTTTGGAACGTGACCATCTAAATGATGGATTGCTTTTGATCATTATTCCCAAGACAAATGCAATTATCTCATAGTGAAAGTCAAGAAATATCTTAAACTCTCCAAGGACTTTAATTACATAAAATTATCAATCTTTGTCTAATATTATTTCCTTCAAAAGGAATTCTCTCGTGGGATGAGAAGGCTAAAAACAATCTATGAATAATTCAATAACAGAATTCCATGTCAGGGTTTGTCAGAATTGTGCCAACATGTATTTAAAGCAGGAAAAAAAATGATACTGTCTGTCAAAGAACAAGTTGGAAGTCCTGAAAACATGCTTCCTTTTTCACAGAATGTATTCTGTAATTATCATAGCCTTTTCTTGTGGCACATTGGTATAATTATATACAGTACATTCAGAAAGTGTTCAGACCCGCTTCACTTTTGTCACTTTTGTTATGCTGCAGCCTGTTGTTGAAATTCATTTTTTTCTCAATCTACACTCAGTACCCCAGAATGACAAAGTGAAAATAAATTTTAGAAATGTCTGTAAATTTATTAAAAAGAAAAAAACTGAAATGTCACATTGGCATGAGCATTCAGACCCTTTTCAAGTCCTTCCAGAGATGTTCAATAGGATTCAAGTCAGGGCTCTTGCTGGGCCATTCTAGGACATTCACAGACTTGTTCCTAAGCCTTTTCTGTGTTGTCTTGGCTGTGTTCGATGGACACAGGATCATTGTCATGTAGAGTCATTGTCATGTTGGAAAGTGAACCTTCTGCCCAGTCTGAGGTCCTGAGCACTGTGGGACAGGTGTTCACTGAGAATATCCCTGTACTTTGCTCCATTCAGCTTTCCCTCAACCCTGACCCTGCTGTCAGTCCCTGCTGCTGAAAAACATCCCCACAGCATGATGCTGCCACCACAATTCACTGTTGGGATATTGGGCAGGCGATGAGTGGTGCCTGGTTTTCTCCAGACATGACATTTAGAATTGATAATAGTTCAATCTTGGTTTTATCAGATCAGATAATCTTGTTCCTCGGTCTCAAAATCCTTCAGGTGCTTTTTTGCAAACTCTAAGAGGGCTTTCATGTATTTTGCACTGAGGAGAGGCTTTCATCTAGTCCAGTGGTTCTCAACCTGTGGGTCGGGACCCCATTTGGGGTCGATCGACCATTTCACGAGGGTCGCCAAGCAAGGCTGTCCACCATTTTTTTGTCCGCCATTTTTTTCCCCTTTTCCGGCGGGTGCCTTACCTCCCTTGGGCTGGGCCAGCTGGTGGTCGGCCTGCTCCGTCTCTGCTGCTTGCCAGCTACGCCTCGGCCGGCGCAGGGGGCTGAACCACGCATGCGCGGTGCTCCCGGGCAGGGAAAGTCCTCGACTTACAACCGGTTGGGTAGTCCTCTACTTACAACCGGTTTAGTCCTCGACTTACGACCGGTTGGGGTCGCGGCATTAAAAAGGTTGAGAACCACTGATCTAGTCACTCTGCTCGGTGGAGGGCTGCAGTGATGGTTATCCTTCTGGAACTCTGTCACATCTCCACACAGGATCTGTGGAGCTCAATCAGAATGACCATCGGGTTCTTGGTCACCTCTCTTACTAAGGCCTTTCTCTGATTGCTCAGTTTGACAGGCAACCAGCTCTTGGAAGAGTCCTGGTTGTGCCAAACTTCTTCCATTTGAGAATTATGGAGGCCACTGTGCTCTTAGGAACCTTCAATGCAGCAGAAATTTTATTGTAGCCTTCCCCAGATGTGTCTCTCAGCTCTGTAGGCAGTTCCTTTGACCTCATGGCTTTTGCTCTGTTACAGTATGTATTGTGAGCTATGAGGCCTTCTACAGAGAAGTATGTACCTTTCTAAACCATGTCCAATCAGTTTACCACAGGTGGACTCCAATCAAGGTGTAGAAACATGTCAGCAATGATCAAGAGAAATGGGAGGCACTGGAACTAAATTTCAAGTCTTGTTGCAAAGGGTCTGAATACTTATGCCAATGTGATATTTCAGTTTTTTCTTTTTAATAAATTCACAGACATTTCTAAAATGTTGTTTTCATTTTGTCATTAAGGGGTACTGAGTGTAGATTAATGAGAAAAAAAATCAATAACTGTTAAATCAGGCTGCAGTATAACAAAATTGACTTAAAGTGAAGGGGGTCTAAATACTTTCTGAATGTATAATGACACTTTGAGCTTAAAACTAAAATTCTAATATTAAAAAAAAATCAACAGTGTTTCAAGTGGATGGAATAAATGGTTTTAAGTGGAGGAATTACATAGGAAAATGTTCTAACTTTATCCAGTGATTTTATAACAATATCAATTCTAGGTTTAACATAATTTAAATTTGGATCTCATTCCTAGAAATTATCCCCATTTTATCATCCAGTAGTATCAATCTTAAACCACTATGTGAATATATGAATGATCAGGCAATTAAATCTAAAACTTATTCTGAAAATTGCAATATACTTATACCTTTCTATGCTTATAAAAATAGATCAATTAATCTTTTGTAAATATATGTTGTAATTCCAACATGGTCAGATCTAGTGGTAGGATCAATCCAGGTAAAAGGAATGAATGAGAAATGGGTGTTTTATATGGCCATATTGTAGTACTCAATAATACAGGTTTTTGATCATTGTTGCTGCTCAAGATACTGCCTTTCTAATACTTTGATTACAACCCTGATAGTTCTTGACTGTGGGCCAATGGGAATTATAATGAAAGGCACTAAGTCCTAATATGTTTAGAATAGAGTTTTTACATGTCTAGGATATTATTTCAACCTATATAGCCTGGTGTATTTAGATAATTGGGATCATTGCTTTCAAAAACAATCTTTAGGATTTCCTCACCAAATGGAATTGGTTCCCCAGTTCCTGTTCCTCCTGACTATTCCGACCACATAATTCCAGATATTATAAACTATATTAAATTATTGTAAATAAGCCTCAAGTCTTTAATTACTTTCGTTTACTAATCGTTTGTTCTCCAATGAAACACTATCAATGTCTAATCCAAATTATATGTAATGGATGCTTTGAAATATCATCATAAGAATCCAACTGTAATTAAACATTTCTAGAATGACAATGCTTAGCTCTACAGAAATTAAGGAGATAACTTTAACTTATTTGCATAACATAAGTTCTGAGCACATAACCCTAAATGGGCTCTCAAATGAAACAATCAGATGTATGGTCCTACTATTCCCTCTTCCTTGCATTGTCTTCATGCACAGAGGATGTCAGGCCAATAGATAGGATGAAACATTTTTTTTTAATCTAAAATTGAAATTAAAATGTTTGAAATGAATCTTTAATAGTATGGAATCTCCTTCCATTAAAACATGTCAGATGATACCAGTGAAAAAGTAACAACAGAATTCATCAATAAATAGCAAACAGATTTAAGACATTTTTACTGTAAAAAGAGACATGCACAAATTAAATACGTCCCCCTCTACAACCCTGAAACCTTATCCCCACTGTTAGCATACAAAGTTGGTTTCCAGTCAGGTAGGAACTTTGCTCTTGTAAAAATAGCAAAAATGCTTGCAATTATATAATCCTAGTTTATTCTGGGTGACGCAACAGAACCTTTTGCACATTCACTCAGGATTCCTGGGCATGTATCTTTTCACACAAATGCACAACAATTATTTGGATAATTAGTTATGCTGAGTGGATGACGATAAATTGGCCACAAGAAGAATTCCATGCTGTCCCAATATAAGAATCTTACAATGGAGGGGAGAGGAATGCAAGCCAGAGTTTTGGTTCAGCTTGCCATGAGTATCCACTGAGATCACCTGTTTTCCTTCTCCCTGTCTCTTGACCAGTGCTGTATTGCTCCATAGTTCCCACAGCCAAGGAAGATACCATGGCATTTGATATCTACATTCTGCAGTTTTTGAATGAGGTGATTGAGCTGGAAGGAAGAGGGGATTTCAAGAAACTGTTATTATGACAGCTACAAGTTCAGTAGGTCAAGAAAAGCAGACAGATGGGCATTATGTATTGAGACTGTTTGCAGGGAATGGGCTAATAAAATATACATAACTGCATCTGCAAGCTTCATGATCAAAAAGTCTGCACAACGCAACTTGAAGTTATGATATGCTGGGAAAGGAGAGGGATAGAGCTATGTCATTGTCATTAGAATATTGCTCTGGGAATGGGTAATATAAAGATTTAAAAAATATTCCAAAGCAGTAATTTACATAAGGAGTAAAAGCTAATATTGCCAGGAAGATTTAAAAATCCCTTCACCGTGGTCCCAGTTCTAACTGTGTTTTCTTCCAGGAAGTGGAAACACACACACACACACACACACATATATACAAATAAGGCCAAACCATGGATTAATGTTTCTTTAAGTGTGATCTTCAAACAAAGTTGCTAAAAACAGCAAGGAAGACCAATAAATTACAGAGGTTTAAACTTTTAGGTAGCTGAGTCATAGGTTTGTTTTGTTTGGAGAGAAGAAAACCAGTCTTTCAAATGTTTCAGTTAATTGAAGGATTTAGAGCCATCCTCTGTTTTTGATTTCCAAAAGGACAGATTCGTAGCACTGTCTAACAGTATGTTCCAGTTGAATTAGTTGGCCGCATCCGACCGATAACCGTGCTCTGGGGAGGAAATGAGAAAACGAGAAAAAATGCAATTTACTAAGCCTAGTCCAATCCCCTCTGTTATGACTTTCTGTAGCAGCTTTTCAAAATGCACAAGATTCTTTTCTTCTAAGGGTTGCACTAGCTTCCATTGTGAGTATTGATTTAAAGTACTCTTTATAGCCTTTAACGCTCTAAGCATGTTACCTGGAGGAATATCACTTTCAATATGAAGCTATCCATATCTTTCAAGAAACCTTATTCTATAGATCTTGCCAACTTCTGCAGTGCATCTGCAGCGAAGATACAGGAAAAGGATTTACAGGGCAGTACTCAGGGTTTTGCACTCCCTCTTAGTCACCGTTTCAGCAGGCTTCCAGTTTGCTGGGGAGATAAATTTTAATCTAGGCTGTCTTACTATTTTGCATAATTAATTGGTCTTTATCGGTGGCTATTAGTCACCACAACGTATGTTTTTGGGGAGGGGCTAACATTTAAGATGACTTTTTGTTAGGTTCTTTGGAATTTATTATCACGTAAATGAACATTGAAACAAGGAAATCATGCTTAAATGCATTGCATCGTGCAGATCCAATATGCTTTGGAATTGGAATTCCTCATAGTTAAAGTAATTTAAAGATATTTGTAAAGTAAGCAATAATGACAAGATATATTAGACACACTATTATATGGGTCTCATGGTATCTTTCCTTTTTTAATTATGTTGACATCTGTTTAGCATTCCATCTCTAGCTTAGAAAGATTATGTAGAAATGTACATCTGGGCATATAAAAATGCAAATCTCACCAATGAGCCATTATTTCTACATACTTCCTTCTCCAAAAATAGCACATGCCCACCTTTTTTCTCTCTCAGAATGCATTTCTCCTAGATTTTAGACTGCTATTTTTTCAGAAGTGATCCTTCTAGAACAGGAAGTAATTCATAGTATTTTAGATGTGATACTACTGTACCTTAACTAAATGCATGCGTACAACGTGATTTAATAATGTTAAAAGGGGATTTCAATCCATTTTTAAAGGACTTCTTGTCTAGAAAGTGGGTTAAACTTCTAGTTCTTTCATTTGATACACACTCACTTCCCTTCAAAAAGTCACTTTTTCCATCAATGGAAAACCAATCTCTGTTGCAATATTCTATACAATGTATCAATGCTTATTGCTAAGTACTTTCTCAAACAAAAGCTAGCCTACGTGACCAACAGCTAGGTCACGTATGCCTAAGGTGACTTCCTCATTTCCTAAAGGGCACAAAAAAGACCGTATATGGTAGTAAGGAAATGTTCCCCTCCTCCTGAGATGTAACCACTCCCATACCTGA